GCCCGGGCTGCGCGCCGCGGCCGCGCTCCCCGCACGGTACTTCTATGTGCAGGCCGTGGACGCCCAAGGGCTGAGGTGAGGGCGGCGGCGGCTTTCGGGGAGATTCTGGGCAGGGTCAAACCGAGTGGCTTGCGATTTGCTGGTAGAAAGAGCAGGCTAAAAGCTCTCCACGTGATTCTATATCATTTGGCAAGAGCTAATTAATCTTTTCAAGGAGTATCAAATAACGGCGCGAGGGGATGAGATAAGAGGATGAGAACGTTCAGCAGCAAAACATACGCAGTAGTGGAAAAATTAATGATTTATTCTTCTTTGTCAAAACTTTAGCAGTGACTAATACATTTAATTTTCATAGGCTCAGGCATCCTGCTTATTTCCACTGTTGGGAACATTGGTATTTCTTCTACGTGCCGAGGCAGGAGATCAGTAGAAACGCTTAGGAGTTATTCCGCAGGCCAATAGGTAAACTTCATAAGAATGAAATAGGATGAGGAGCAATGGCCATAAACTAAAATACCAGAAATTTCACCTAAAGTGAGGGAAAGCTTTCCCCTGGGGGTGGCAGAGGACTGGAACAGGCTGCCCAGGGAGGCTGTGGAGTCTCCCTATCTGGAGACATTGCAAACCCCCCTGGACACGTTCCTGTGTCACCTGCTGCAGGGTGACCCTGCTTTGGCAAGGGCATTGGACTAGATGATCTCTGTTGGTCCTTTCCAGCCTTAACAACTCTGTGATTCTGTGATTTTCGGAAGATACTCATTGCTTTCCATTTATTTAGGAAAATTGGTCATACAGCCTAGATAGGAGCTTGGAATGCTCCATCAAGGTCATCCAAATTAGGTGGACCATGGCTTGTGTAAGTATGGAAGCTGCCAATTCAGCTTAACTTGGATAGTAAATATTTCTTGCATTTAATTGAACTGACAGCTCTCAAGTATGTGTGGACAAGTTTTAGGACAGCTGGTGGGAGTGGCTGAACTAAGGAGTTACAGCCCAAGAGCCTGATTACTGCCTGGAAGAAAGGTGGAAGGAAGTTGACAGCATTTTGACTGTACCAACCTTGTTAATATCTCAATGATATGTACTAACTTCATGATTATTCAGATTATTTTATTTGGTTTTATGGAGGTATTTCTATGTTTGATGTATGGACAATTTTACCAAAACACCTCATTTACACATTGAATTATGTGATCCCTCTATAATGTTTTCCCCGTTTTTCTCCCCATATAAGCTACCATAATGATTAAGAAGTTTAAGTTTGTTCTTTGCTTCCTTTATATCTGGAAAACAAGGTAATCTAGAAACATTTTACTTCCAAATGTAAAATAATAGACTTGTTAACCTGTTAAAGTGAACGTTAGGATGTTCTTATAGAGGCCTCACATGGCTCAGAGAAGCCACTGGAAATCTGTTGACTTGCAAAGGAATAGGCCAGACTAAGAAATCTGTTGTATGTTTCCTTTTTTTATTAAGCACCCACTTATTCTCTGGGTAGGTTCACTTCATCACCAGGTGAAAACGCATTCCAGGTGAAGATCACTGCTCCTGAAGAACAGTTCACTCGTGTTGGTGTGCAAGTATTGGACAGGAAAGATGGTTCCTTCCTTGTGAGGTACAGGATGTATGCAAGCTACAAAAGCCTGAGGATCGAAGTCAAAACTGGAGATAAGCATGTTGCAAAGTCTCCGTATATTTTAAAAGGTAAGACGCACCACTACACACAGGTTTCCTGTCATGGCTCACAAAGTGTGTACCGGAATATCTTTTGCTACAAGCACAGGATTCCTTGGGACCTCAGTACTTCTCTGGACTATCAAATTTCATAGGAATTATGGATTCATTATATGTGTCCTACACATAGTATTCCAAATAATAAAAGGAAGTAAATGCTGTGAAGCTGTTGCCTAATAAATACAGATAGAGGGCTTACACAGAAGCTGATGTAGGTTGATGTGACCCTATTAGAGTTAAAAAAAAAATTCAGATACATCCATTTAGAGCTGCTGAAGTTTTGGCCCTAAGCAGTGAATGTTCAGTGACTGACCCTGTTCTGTGATCTCAACAGCTCAATATTATGACTTATTAAAAATAAAATAATAATTGTGTTCCCAATAGGACCTATTTACCATGAAAACTGTGACTGCCCTCAGGAGGAAAGCAGTACATGGATGGAAGAGATGAACTGCCCTCAAACCATTCCACAGATTCAGAGAGACCTAGCAAATTTTCCCATTGTTGACCCAGATAAGATTGCGAAAGAAATTCCACAGAGGTTTGGACAAAGACAGAGTTTATGTCACTACACCATCAAAGACAATGAGGTATGGAATTTGGTTGATCTGAAGTCCATATGGGAGTTTGGTGGCAAGCCATGTTTACTGGGCAGTTTGTCTGTTCCCAGTTGTAAAAGCTTCTTGTAGTGTGTTCTTTAAGAACAAGACTTTGCTTGCTTCTCTGTCCTTGAATACTTTGCAGTTTGTATATGAGCTCAGCAATGTCTGTCCTACTTTGTAAGTGCTTTTTTGTCCACGTTACAACTGAAACACAGTGAAAGCAAATTACTTTCCAGGCAATCAATATGAGTGCTGGGCACACACCCAAGTCTCCTAAATGCTAATTCAGTTTCCTGTTCTCTGAGCAATACTGCTGTGAGACATCACGATCATCTAATTTGAAGTGCATCAATAAATTACATTGTGCATAATTCTGAGGTAAAGAAATACCACTTTTAGCACTGAGGATCAGAGCTACATTTCTTTATAAAAAAAGCTGTACTTAATTCAGTGGAGGTTTATATGGAAATCAGATGAATGGAACACCACAGAAATAGGCAACAGTTTCTGTTTCCATGAAACAGACCTTGAATGTCTGCAAAAGCAAGCAAAGCTTGTAGTTTTTTATTTTCCATCTCTTTCCTGTATGAGATTTCTGTTGCTTCCCAGCTGATTCATAAATCTATATAGCCATATAATCTGTCTGACTAATTGCTATGCAATTAAAAAAGCTCTGTATTGTACCAGCTATTCTCTGAAATGAAATCACCCAGTAAAACCTTCATTTATTTTCAGGTTTATATAAAGACATATGGGGAACATGTTGGCTTCAGAATTTTCATGGATGCCATACTGCTTTCTTTGACAAGAAAAGTAAGTATATCTGTACAGCCACTAACTCTGCATGTCCTAATATATAGGAGCCTGGGCTTAAGTACACATCAGCATATTTGTTGCCATTTCTGTTGAAAAACTCTTGCTCATTTATTAATTATGGAAAGGTCATAGATTTTCCTTGTTTGAAGCTGTTGTGTTCTAGAATGCCATCTGATTGAATATCACAAAAATTAATTGAATAAGTAGGCTTTTATAGGAGAGTTTGATAGGCCACGATAGGGTGTGTTGGATTTGGGCATTTTTCTGTAGAATAAATAAATCATTGTATAGCATCTAAGAGAAAATTCTGTCTCTGCAAGTACATTTCTGCAAAAAGCTGAACACAAGTTAACATGTTACAGAACTATTAAGTAACCTTTCCACTATCCTTAGGATTAGTAATGGATCAGTTATGCTACTCTGCCTTTGGGTGTCATGCTTTAAACATTGTTCAGTTTCTAACATTGCTGAACTAACATTACACAGGAAAATGGGACAAATGACTAAATGTACAAATGAACATTAACTAGGGATTGTTTCATCTAACACTGTCCACAGGAGGACGTGATGTCTAAGGGAAGACATGAATGTAGACTCCAATAGATTGTTCTCTGGAAGATGGAAGTAAACTGTTCTTGGTGTCAGTAGTGTTGGACAAGGAATAATGGCGTTAAATTACATCTAAGGACTTTAGATTAAAAGTTGAAAAAGGATTGCTAACTCCAAAACCCGAGTTTACAGATGTAGAAAACACATTAAATACCATTAAATAAGAATTTTTGTTAGGATAGTTTCACTGAGTGACAGCAGATAGTTGGTTGGAGAAGAAGATTTAAACTGCTGAGTGATTCTGCCACTGAGGAGGTGTAGAAAACACTATTTGTAGGGTTTATGCCCATTTACAACCATTAGATGGCACCATAGTAATGAAGTTTAGTCCTGAGCATTACACTGTGTAGCAAACACCCTTAGAAAGGAAAAGAGTGTCTTCCACCATTTAGAAGAGTGTTTGATATTTGGCAAATTATTAATTTCTTTTGCTTTGAAAGAGGCAACTGAGGGGAATATATTGGAGATGTATATTTTTTAAAAACGAAATTAAGAAAGTGAACTGAGATATGACATTAGTTCTGCAGTGACCTTACATGTGCCTTTAGGGTTCTGAAAAACACAGCCATATGTCATGTTTTGCCTCTGACTCTCCAAACTGAACTGTCCCACCATTTTCAGTGTTTTCTCAGAAGGCAGCTGGTCTTTTCTTAGGAAAACTACAAAGCTGCTTTCTTTGTACCTTTTCTTACTTCACTTGAAAATACCTAAACCACACACAATGCTTAATATAGGGGTGCATCATAGTTTCATAAAGCAGCAAAACTATTCCCTCTGTCCTGCTTCCTGGACATCAACAGTATTTTTCTTGGTTTTTGGCTGTAACAGTGATTTCAGGTATGGTTCCACACTACCAAATATTTTGAATAGGTGATGTTATGCTTAATAAGTAACTGAAACACTGGCTAAATGTGGTGTTCCCATCATGGCTGTTTATTTCTGTTTCTTCTCTTCTGTTGTATTTAGGCATCCTGCAGACACAGGGTGAATCAGATCACTGATGTGACAGAAAACTGATTTACCAGCCAGCATCAATTTTCCATATAGTAACAAGGTGATCCAACTTACCTTGGAACTATACAATTGCTGACTAGGTCCCAGTGCTAGCCTGATAAAAAGATTGTGTGGCCAATCATGTAAAGTGTAACAGGAACCCATCCTCTAAAGAGTGTTCCTGTGCCTTATGTGACTTATTTTTCCTCCTAGTGAGCAGCTTGTTTTCAAAACACAAGGTGCCAGCAGAATACTGTTTTGTGTTAAACTGCATTTGTGCCTACTTTGTTCTGTTTAGGTGAAAATGCCAGATGTAGAATTTTTTGTTAATTTGGGGGACTCTGGCCTCTGGAGAAAAGAAAGCCCCCACAGAACTTGCACCCGATCTTCTCGTGGTGTGGGTCCAGTGAGTCAAAAGACATTGTTATGCCAACATATGACTTAACAGACTCAGTTTTGGAGACTATGGGACGGTAAGAAATGGCTTAAACTTTTTACAAAATTCATGATGAATGATCTTCCATAGAGATCTGTGTATTAACAGTATAGTCACTGTTTTCATTTACTCATCGAGACACTGACACCCTAGGTAGGCAGTGACTGTGTAATCAATATATTAGCATTAGACTTCAGGGTTTCATTTCAAAAATCTAAATTTATCTAAACATGGTCAAATCACTGAAAATAGTACTTAAGAGTGTTTCAAGTTTAGGCATTTGATTGTTTACTTTTTTTGTCCCCCCATGAACTTGTTGACAACTGGCCAGGTGTCTTTCTTTCCTGGTTTTGTTAGAACCTGTTTTTTGTGTACCTTTCAAATCCCTACATAGTTAATGGGAATTCTCGAACTAGGAGCTACCATCTCCTACTTTGATTACTGACTATAAATAGCCTTGGCAACTGCTCTGTTCTGTCGTGAAACACTACAAAGACAGCTTGCTTCTAAGAAATCTTTGTAATCCATCTTGAACTTGTCTATCGTTTCACTGCGTTTAGTTCAGGTTCCTTTTTTTTGTCAAGACTTTTTCTAAATTCGCTATCCCTTGCCTTCCCAGTTTGTGTGTTTAATTTCTTAACATTTTTAAGGATGTGCAATATGTTTTATTTAACAAGTTATACTACCTTGCATCACCTTCTCTGGCAACCATATCCACTTTTACCTATTTTTATCCATGCCAGCTGACAGGTATTGTTTCCACATGCCAGGTTGTTGAATGATGCTCTCATGCCACACCTCTGTGAACTTAACATTCATTATCTGTTTCTATTGCTGCAAATAACTGATACAGTAACAGACATCTTGGTGTGCTCATGACTTGCCTTCATCTTTGCTCTCTGCCTATGGGTACTGTGAACTCTTTTGAGTAACTGCACTTTAGAAAGTTTCCACTAGGCTTCACTATTAAATCACTTCTTCCTCCTGCAGAGTCAGCCTGGATATGATGTCAGTCCAAGCAAACACTGGCCCATCATGGGAAGACAAGAATACCACAGCCTTCTGGAGAGGACGTGACAGCCGCAAAGAGAGGCTTGAGCTTGTAAAACTCAGCAGGAAATATCCAGAGATCATAGATGCTGCTTTCACAAACTTTTTTTTCTTTAAACATGATGAAAGCCTCTATGGCCCTATTGTTAAGCACATTTCATTTTTTGATTTTTTTAAGGTGAGCCACTATTAATTTTTCATAGAACTCAGTTCTCATTGTTTCCCATTATCAAATAACTTAGCATGTATTACTGAAAATAAAGTGATTTTTAGTTTTTTAGGACACCACCAGTAACAAGCATGACTAGACATCCCTCCAGTGGGATTAACTGCTATGTAGCTCTTACCCTCAGGATAGTAATGTTTGATTTACCTCTAAAGGTTCTGTAGAACCTTGTGTAATCGATGTAATTTCAAGTTCCTTTTTATTTCTTTTTCCTGATTCAGCGGTCAGGACTACTAACATAACTAACATAGTGGGAGAATCGGTGGATGAAGTGGCACATCTACCCTCACATCTGAGGATGAGCACCTAAGAATTCCTGGAGAACTTAATTGATGAAGCTCTGTGTACTCTGCACTGTGATGAATTCCAAACTAGATAATAAAAGCTTCTTAGACATTGATGTTTGCCTAGCCAGTCCTACCTGTCTCAATATTGGCAAGTCAGTAACACCAGTGCCCTCAGAATATAACCTAACCAAGCCACAGGGATCTTGTGGTTTTTAGTAATTTCTGATCCTTTTCTTTCCAGTATAAATATCAAATTAATATTGATGGCACAGTGGCAGCATACAGATTGCCTTATCTACTAGCAGGAAACAGTGTGGTGCTAAAGCAAGACTCCATCTACTATGAGCACTTTTATAACGAGCTGCAGCCGTGGAAACACTACATCCCATTTAAAAGTGACCTGAGTGATCTGCTAGAAAAACTACAGTGGGCAAAAGATCATGATGAAGAGGTAAAATATTCATTTAGAAGTATGCAGAAGAGAGAAGAGAACAAAAATTTGATTTCTTTAAAACAAGGCCAAAAAAAATACTAGGAGGACTTGAAATTTATTTTTACCAACTCTACAAACAAGAAAAACACTTAAAAATGCATAATATTGTCCTTAATTTGAAATCAAATTGAACTTCAGGAAAGAAAAAAAAAGAGTATTTTCCTAAGAATGCTTTAACTTTTAAAAAGAATGTTTTATTTGAGTTGTCCTAAACTGTCAACATAATTTGTAGCTCCACAACCAACAGTAGCACCCTGAAATAAATACTAGTTCTGGACAATAAAAAAATATAAACCAAACTTTCATTTTCTTTGACAGGCAAAAAATATTGCAAAGTCTGGACAAGAATTTGCAAGAAACAATCTCATGGGAGACCACATTTTTTGTTACTATTTCAAACTTTTCCAGGTCAGTATATTTTTAATGGCTACTGGCACAGAAATAGAAATCACACAGCAAGAATTTAGGGCAACAGAGCTGCTGGAAACTGGCCAGTCTGGTATTTGAAACCACAAAGCAAGCAGCAGCAATTAAAATCTTCATTTGGTTTACAAACATTGTATTCAATTATATCCTATGAAACCACTTAAGACTGCACTGGCTTTTTGAGAGGCAGTGGGATCCCATAAATCTTGATCTAATCTGCCAGAATATGTTGCCCACAATGATCAAAGAATTCCACATCAGACGCACACCCTGTGAACCACAGCTGAAAATATCTGTGCATTAGCACCGAGATACCAAACTCCATGGAGGCACCCGAAGGGACTCCTGTTTGCAGCTGAGTGTTCCCTCACCCTGTCTGTGACAGTCTGCAGGAACAGACTGTGTAGCTCCAGAGGTTTTACAGAATTGCTCAGCTGATTTGGTACAGTATTGGTAACCAGATGTACAATCTAAAAAAATTATGGATTAACAATACCTTCCTTTTTTTAAAACCAGGAATATGCCAGCTTGCAAGTGAGTGAACCAAAAATCAGAGATGGGATGGAAAAGGTGCCACAGCCTGATGATGACCTTTTCCCATGCACTTGCCACCGAAAAAAGGTACGGTACATGCAGAGTTAAATGTAAAGTGCTGAGTGTCTTCAGTTCCTGTTCAGCCCTGCTGGAGCAGGGCTGCTCAGTACCTCACAGTATCAGTTATCAGGCCAGGCCATTAACACCTATCGAACTTAGAAACACTTCTTGATGTATTTGCAGGACTAGACAGTGAAAAATTAGGCTTCCAGTTAACTGAAACATGTTTCTTCTTTTTTGACTGCAGGCCAAAGATGAACTCTGACAGAAGTAAATAATTTTTTTTTTGATATTTATCTACATTCAGACTGTCTTCTTAAAGAAAGAAGAAAAATCTGGATTACTATGCCTTTGGATAATGTCAGTGGGTATTTTAAAGTTTACCATTTCATGATTGACATATGAAGAAAACAAAGCACCCCCGATTTCCTTTTTATCATGCAGTGGTGGCAGAGCCTTATTCAAACACATTTTTATAATTTCTTTTTTTAAATAAAAACTATGTTTGTATCAGTCATGTGTTCCTGTCCTAAGTTGCCTTGGAAATGCAGATACTTTTTACTCATGCTTGTTTATAGTGAGTCTTTTCACAAACCTGAAACTGTTCTGCAAGAAAAGGGCAGATGAGAATTGTACATCTTCCCCCCTACTGTCTGTCTATCTCTCCATCCAAAGGTATCTTTTTTCATACCATAACTTTGCTCTTTCTTAGAAAATCTCAAAGACAATGCTGTGGGATTCATAATAAATCGTGTTAACCTGAAGGAAAACTTCAATATTGCTGTAAGCTTGGTTATACCAACAGGTTACTCATAGCCCATAATGAGAAAGGCTGCCAGTACACACAAAGTGTTTCATCCACTCTGCAGTGTCAGGGCTCAGAGAGGGACCTGAGTTCCTCCTGTTAATGAGTAATGTGGTGCAGACCCTGGCCTGCCTCTTTAGACCCCTCTGGATAGAAGCCTTGTGTGACATGTCACAATGGATGCAGAACTGGTTCCTGCTCCAGGAGTTCCTCCATCACTAAACACAGTTTGTCTAACAGTTTTTATTTATCAGAGGGTCCCTGTGATCAGTCGTTTACACAAAGGACACTGGTGAAGGGGACTTCTCAAAAATGGAACAAAACCATGTTCTTTGCTCCACATGCCAAGCTGTGTCTGCATTACCTCTTCCTCCTCCCCACACAGGCAGAATCTGGCTCTCTAAGGTGGGAGACACTCTCAACAACCAAAGAGATTCCTCTCCCTGCCTAACTGTGTTGGAAGCACCTGCGAAGGCCAGGACACAGCAGCAAAGGAATACACCAGGCTCACCAGCGTCGGGGGATGTGGTAGATGAACCCCACAAATCAGTAGGTTTTAATTGCAAGTGAGTACAGCATCAGTAATGTACTCAGAAGTTGAAGACCCCTAAAGATACACTGTCCAAGTAGATTTTTTCCAGTGTATTACTTTAAATATTAGTCCACAGTATTACTTTATCCTCTGCATTCCCAAGCTGTATATGGTTATTTGCATAGAAACACAGAGAACAATGCTGCCATGATATATTTTCTGTCCTTCAGGAAGTTCTTTATTGTTTTGTGTATTTTTTCCATTCATACAAAGCTTTATTTTCATTTGCACTTAGACCTCTGAAAAGATTGGTTTTTAAAAAAATATGCCTCTAAAAAATAACAAACCACTTATTTGCCACATTTAGGAAAAACTAAATGAAGATGCTTGAACACCACAAATTATTTGTGCTGCAGTTGAACATTCTCTCCAAGCCAAGAAAAAACTTGCACATTTACTTCTTCCATGATGTCATCTGCTGTTCGTCCTTTAACCGCCATCCCATGGTTTGCTTTATCAATCCAATAGATTTTTTTAGGGGCTTTCATTTTGCTCACCACACCTTTTAGCAATTGCTATGGAGAAAAAAAATGTGCAAATATTAGAGAATCAGCTGCTACAAACTCTGGAACTCCTAGATGTCTCTTGCTTTTCCTGTGTAATGCAAAATAGGCAGCTCCTAAAAACCAAATGGATTTGTGTGCACATGAAAAACACCTTGATGGGAAAATGGGATGTATTCTCTATTCAGGAAATGAATACTGGGATCTGCTCAAAGCTTCACCCTCACTCAAACAGAGCAGAGCAGAAAATTAGAACTTCAAAACCTGCATAGGTCACAACCCTGTACAGGCACCCTCCCCATACTGACAAAGGAACCCACATTTACTGTCAGAGGGTAGTGCTGGCAATAAAACTTTAGCATTGAAGCCAGATTAGCAATGTAACTCCTTAGGGACTGGCTTTGACACTGTTGAAATTTCTCAGCAACAGATCTAAGAACAAGCTCACAAAGTCAAAGATTTCCCCATTAAGAGGGCACACCAAGGTTCTGCTGGTTGCTAGCTTCAGTACTTCAGTATTTTGGTGACAACTCCTTACAAAAGCACTATGGCTCCTTAGAAACTGTCCAAGCATGGAAAATGCCAGTTGCACATAGCTCCAAAGTTGATCTGTTCAAGAACAACAACCACCTGTTTGCAAGCAAATAAGTCAGAAGAGCAGTTTCCCTGCCTCTGCACACCTGCTCTTCATCTCTACAAAAGTATCACTTTCTACCACAGAAGCCTGACTTCAGGGTAGAACTGCTTGGCTAGAATTTGTCATGAAAATGTGACCAGTGTGAAATTGGTGGCACAGCACAGGTTTTGCAACCTGAAATGGTTAAAACAAAATAGCAAATAACTCGCTCCCTTCCATAGGCCACTTTTAATTTGTACAGTCCTACTAACACCATTTAAATCAGTGGTATTTTAGTGGCCCAAAGATGAGCTTGCTAAAGTGGAAGACGAAGCATGATCTACTAAGTTTTAAGCAGCAAAAGAAAGCACTGCCAGGCTTCCTTGTGTCTGATTAAGTTGCCTACCCATGGCTTCCTTCAGAAGACACCTATTTAAGGAAGGTTGTTAATCAAGTGAAATACAGACATCGCTGAGGCTCACTGCGTCTCCTCCAGACTGCCCTTTCATAGCAGGATTTACAAGGGTACTCACTTTTTCACACATCTCATCTGCTGATCCTGAGACAAACAGCACTGGACAGCTGATCAGTAATAAATCCTCATCCCGGAGCTTGGACTGCAGTTTTGGTCGATGCAATGGATAAGATAAACACACAAGTCCTTGAATGAAACCATCATCATCATCATCCTGGCTCAGCTGACGTATCACAGAGGCAGCAGCTCGTGAGCCCATGGAACGGCCTTCCTCCCAGGTAGAAATACAGGAAAAAAGTATTATCTGCTGTTACCTCATCTACATTCTAATTTAGTAAACAACTCCCAAAACTAAGCCAACTGAGTGTATTTTGGTGGTAAAAAATTCTAGGGATGTTCTACTCCATGAAAAACATGAATTCTAATTTAAAATTTTTTTTTGAAAAGATCTTTGTCTAGTTGTTACATTTACATCCCTGTTTAAAAAACAAGGGGAAAAGAAAGAAAAGGGATAGGAATCCCTTGTAATACTAGAAGGAACAACAGCCCAACCTGGGCACAAGGGAAGAGAGGGACTGGTCCTATGCTCCAGAGCCTGGAAATTCAAGATAGCCATGCTATGAACCATTATCATTATTTTCATGCAACCTCAATTTACTTAAATTCAAAACAAAATTCTGTGCTAGATTTCACCTTCCTTGCAAAACAAATCCAGCAAGTGTTTATGCACACCTTGAACTTCAGCCTAAAAATAAAAGTAGAAGGGAGGGGAAAAATTGTATGAACTAGTACCATGAAGTCAGACAGTACCAGCAAGGGAGTATCAAAGTATCTCCTCAAAGAGCAGGCAAATGAGCTGACAATACACTGTAACTAAGTCTTACAACTGGCTGATTCTTATAGCAGCACAGATTTGGTTTCACTTAAGAGAAAACATAGAATTTCCCCTATCCAGATATTCCTAATCACCCCCATCTCTTCTCCTTTTCATATAACACAGCTGATGTTTTTTATCTGCTGCTAAGTTTTAACTATCAAAATCTGTTTTGGAAAAACTGTTTTCCATTTATCAGTAAGCAGAATTCTCCACTTATAAATTCTGCAGTTATAAAGTGCACATGGATAATCATAAAACTCATGCCCTATAATTTCTAAGTGATAAGGATGTTTTCTCTCTAAGTACCTGGAAAATACAATCTATTGCTCTTTCCTCCTCTGCAGTAAGATGTATGGTATCACTTCTCACCAAAGTGGGACAGACTTGGAATAGCAGATTACTATTATTAAAAGACAGTGTAAGAGAGAAAATTATTGATTATAAAAACAATACCTGCAAGGAAAACACCAGAAAGTTTATAATCATCGGAAAGTTTTAAGTATTCCTAAAGAAATAAGAGAAGCATTTCAATTCAGAATTAAGACAGCTGGGAAGCTGGGGATCTCTTCTGTTTGTAGCTACTACACAGAAAATGGGAAGGTCTTTCAACACTGTAGATTAAACAAAGAACAGATACATATAAGGTGCTCTCTTGGGTTTTATCACACAAATGGTTTCATAAAATTCTGCAGCAGCAACATAAACATAATCTATTTCACATGAGCTCTCAGTAAGTCTAAAATATCAGATGCCTTATCAAGTTACCAAAACATAAGTGATTACTATGTATCAAGTCACTTATAGTAACAGACGCCATGCACACTCTTGGCCCTCAAAAGGCAAAGCCAGTTGGCAAAAATGCCCTTTATTGAAGTTATATATTTCCAATTAAAAGTTTGTGACTTGATCAGTTAAGCCTGACAGAAAAGATAAAATTCAGCAACGTTTTTTCAGGTTTTAGGAGATGACTAATCAAATGCTATCTTAGCAGATGCCTTAAAATTAGCTTTACATAGCAGCATATTAAAATAAACACACTAACAACATTATACTTCTTCCAAAAAGAATGGAGATCCACATTAAAAATAGCAAAGTCTGACTTCAAATTAATTGTACATATAATCACAATGACATCATACAAAATTTCTTTAGACCTGGACTTTGCTCCCCTATAAAAGTGCCTCATGCTCAAAGCAAAGTGCTTCCTATGCCCCACTAAGAGTCCCTAGATAATCAGGAAAAAAATTCCACTCCTCCCTACATGTTCCAGATCAGGGAGATAATCTTAAGCTGATACTCTTGCAACAGAAGGCTGCTTATTTTAGCAAAACATAGGTACCTAAAGACATCTTTAATAAGGCAGCAGCAGAAAGAGATAAACACATGCAGATAACACTTTTAATTGATTTTGGAATCAAAGATTACTTTGGTTCTAAGGCTGTCATATGCTGATTCCAATCTCTCTTGCTTCAAATCCTGCTGTGACCCTGTCTCTGACTCTTTCCCAAAAGTCTATTTCTCACACCTGAGAAGTCTTTAAAATGCAGCACAATTCTCAGACCAACTTCCTCTCAAAACTGCTTCCAAAGCTGTCTCTTTTCTTCTCCCTCCACTCACCAAGCCCTCCCAGATCACCCAGCTCATTTCCATCTGAAATTCTTCCAT